TTTTAGCACTTTTCAAACAATGAACAATTTTGCAGCTTTTTTCTTTCTTTTTTGAGATTTATTTTATGTGTATAGTATTTTGCCTGCATGCATATTTGTGCACCATGTGTAAGCAGCACCCACAAGAGGTCAGAAGAAGGCATCATATACTCTTGGAACTGGAGTTACAGAAGGTTATAAGTTGTCATATTGGTGCTGGGAATCAAACTCAGGTCCTCTGGAAGAGCAGTCAATTATCATAATCACTGAGTAATCTCTTCAACCTCTTTTTTTTCCTTAATGGTATAAAAAAATATTGTGGGCTCTAAAACTACAGTACTATTCCCTAACAGTAGAATTTCTTCAATGATTAAATACAATAAAGTAAGCATAGTGCCTGGTACATGGTAGGCATTCAGAGACTTCTGGGTAAGTATTCTTGTCATTATTATTATCATCAATATAATCACCATCATCATTATTACTGATGATAAAACCCAATACCTGGCCAGGTCACCACAAGCCTTCAAACTTTCTTCTTTTGGTTGTTAGTCCATGAGTTGGAGCTCCTAATCTGACAAATTGGAGGCTGTCATGTAACCAATGTTACAACTTGTCACTGTAGTTAGGCCCTAGGGCTTTCTTATTAATAAGATTTTGCCATTCACTCTAAGCCTATAAATAGCACCATCTCAGTGTCATCTTTGTTACTATTGAAGTGTAAAGGCAGAAAAAAGTGGGCTCTATGACTTTTGTTGGAGTCATCATCCCAAACTCCCATTTTCTTTTAAAATCCTCCCATTATAATCTGAGGAACTTTGCTAGTTGTGGGGTTCTTTAAGTCATTTAAATCAAAACTGCCAGGACTTAAAGTCAAATCAACTTTCCTCAGTACACTTCCAGCGCCTCATGTTGTAGAGAGTCTTTGAAATTCAAGACTGCATCCACTGATAGGGGAGGTCCTCCTCTCCTTCTTTCTGATCTTAGTCTATCAGTTCTCATCAAAAGTGACTGCATTGTCTTCTTCTGTGGCTTGGTAAGGCTGCTCCCCCCTCAGGGGGAGGTGATCAAAGAGCAGACCAATCAGATTATGTCAGAGGCAGTCCCTCTTCCCATCACTATGTAAGCCACTTGGACACTAAACTGCCATGGGCTACATCTGTGCAGGGGTTCTAGGTTATCTCCATGAATAGTCCTTGGTTGGAGTATGAGTCTCTGGGAAGTTACCTGTGTTCAATTTTTCTTGTTCTGTTGCTCTCCTTGTGGAGTTCCTGTCCTCTCCAGCTCTTGCTATTTCCCACTTCTTACATAAAATTCCATTCACTCTGCCCGACAGTTGGCTATCAGGCTCAGCATCTGTTTTGATAGTCTGCAGGGCAGAGGCTTTCAGGGGCCCTCTGTGGCAGGTTCCTAGGTTGTTTCCTGTTTTCTTCTTCTGGCTTTCAGAGGCCCTCTGTAGCAGGTTCTTAGGTTGTTTCCTGTTTTCTTCTTCTTCTGATGTCCATCCTCTTTGCTTTTTAGGATGGGAATTGAGCGTTTTAGTTACGGTCCTCTCTTTTGCTTAGTTTGTTTAGATGTACAGATTTTAGTGGGTTTATCCTATGTTGTATGTTTATATGAGATGAAGAAAGGGGAGGTAGGGTGGGATCGGGAGGGGAGGAGGGAAGGGCTTATGGGGGAAACAAAATGAATAAAATGTAATTAATAATAGTAATAATAATAATAAAAGAAAAAAAAGAAAGACAGAACTAGCTATTGAGAGTTGTCTTCTGACCGCCATATGTGTGCCATTGCATGAATGCATGGACACCACACACATATTATAAACCACACCCACACACACGAATGATAAAGAGGGAAATTAAAAGAGGGAAATTATTTAGGTGGAAGTCATAGGCTTGACACTAGTTTCAGCTGGACTCTGCTAAGAGCTAAGATCACACGGTCAGGCTTACACAGTCCTAGCAGTTCTTTTCACATACGCTAACCCAAAAGAACAATCTTAGTTTATTCCAAGAGCAATGCCCATACTGATCTAATCAGCAGCAGGCATTTAAAAGATTCTACCAGAAATTAACATCATGACATGGAGACCAACTTTCTAAAACATGAATCCTTGGAAGACAGAGCATATTTAACGAATCAAGAAATTGAAGTATGTGATTATATCTGAAACTCAAGGGTCTTTCAAGAATCCCCCTTCCTAGAAAATACAAATAAATTAAGGTAAAGAAATTGTAACTGGGATGGAAAATCTTACTTCTGATTCCTTTTGATCTGTCTGCCTTATTTAATAAAGTTCTATTTGATATTCATATAAAAAAAAGAAAGAAAGAAATTCAAGGATGCCTTGTTCCTCTTACTAGGAAACCCACTTGGGTACTGAGCTACATGAACTCAATGGCTGGCTCTTTGACCTCTCCCCCTCCCCAAATTAGAAGCAGCCTTGATAGGCCACAGAAGAGGACTTTGCAGCCAATCCTGAAGATACCTGATAAGCTAGGGTCAGATGGAAGGGGAGGAGGTCCTCCCTTATCAGTGGACTTAGAAAGGGGTAGGGAGGAGATGAGAGAGGGAGGGTGAGATTGGAAGGGAATGAGGGAGCGGGCTTCAGCTGGGATACAAAGTAAATAACCTGTAATTAATATAAAAATTATTTTAAAAAAAGAAATTCAAGGACGTCAAGTCTGCTCAAGTGTGAAATGGAAAGAGTCATCTGAGAATGGAGCACTGGCTTACATCTCCCCATATAGGTAAGCGGTGTGGATTTCTCTCCAGCTTTTTCTTGGTTTTGCTAGTATGTTATGCATTGCAAGGCCTTACCCCACCCAGAATTCTCCTACAACACACACACACATACACAAACACACTCAAGTACCATCCCAATCAACTCTCACTTTACCCATGAATATAGAGCTAGTCTTGAAAAATTATCAACATTTGACATGTATGCAGAGGTTAGCTCTCTTGTCTCCTGCTGGTTTCAGGCAGTCTAGGGCACTTTGGAGAATCCCAGTAAAAAGGAATAGAGGTCAGGAAAGAATAGACTTTGTCTCTGGCCATTTGGAGCAAGCAGCTCGACTGCTTCCCAAGCAATTGTAAAATAATTGAGTCTGAACCAACTGATGCTTGACAGTGCATGCCATGCAGGATTCTGCACCATGGCCAGTGTGAGGCTGGGAATAAATAATAATGAGTGATTATCATGGAAACTGTCTCCAGAAATAATGACCAGTTTTTTTTTTTTGTTTGTTTGTTTTTTGGTTTTTTTTTTTTTTTTTTTGGTTTTTTTTTTTTGTTTTTTTGTTTTGTTTTGTTTTGTTTTTTACCATTTAACCTTGGGAAGATAAAATCAGGGCTAGCAAAAAAAAATGATCTAAGAGCAAAGCAGAACTTGAAACCCAAAGAGAATCCTGGGACATAATTATGCACCAGCCTCATCTCCGTGTCCCAGAGGCAAATGAAGGAAGAGGAGAGGATGTCTTTGTCCAGCCTATCAACTCTTTCAGAATCCTGAGATCATCCTGTAGCTTTGCTAACACCTCCTGGCCTTTGTTCCCCTCCAATGCTAATTTCCCCTATCCTACAGATTCTGCTGGGCCCTTCTGTGTGGCCTGTTAAGTCCTTCTTGTATTTTCTTATGGAGCATCCCTTCTGTCCTTTCTCCATCCAATGTTCCATCTGCCCCCACCCAAACACTGCTTCTGGAAGAGCATGGAAAAGCAGAATCCTCATCACATTGCTTTCCTTAAAAAAAAAAAAAATCAATGAACAAAATGGTTTAACATGTGTCAGTATTCAGGTTGAGTAATAAGAACATAATGGCTTATTTAATTATTTTCACTATGTTTATGTATACTTTAAATTGCTCATAACAAAATAGATCTCAGATTTGCCTTCCAGATCTCTCAGGCTGTCTGTAAAATACTATACCACACAGCCTTTCTGTATTTCCCAACCTTGTATGCAGCCTTATCTTTGACCATGCACTTCCGTATAACAGAGCATATGTCTCTTCTGCCTACAAAGTGGTTCTTCCCTTAGAAGAAGCCAAGTGAAAAGAATCCCTGATCTATCGAACACACTTTCCCAAAGGTTCCCCTATGCTCAGGAGGTAGAGATTATTAAGGAGGGTGCCTCCTCTGGCCTGATATACGTATCTGCTGAACATATTTTCAGAAGAGCAGCCTGTGTTGGTTAATCAAATAGATGCAATATTTACTTGAACTTGGGCAAATGGAGTAATTTATCTTCGCTTCTGCTTCTGTCATTAGGAAATGAAATAGCAGTACTTATCTCCCAAAGCTGGGTAACCTTCAGTTCTGCTGTGTCCTGTATGAAAAGAGAGGAAGATGGTAGAGGTGCAAGGGGAGAGAAAAAAGGAAAGAGGGGAAGGATGGAGGGAAGAGGAATGGAGAGAAGGAGGAAGGGAGAGGGGAGGGAGGCAAAGAGGGAGGAGAAAGAGTAAGAGTGGAAGAGAAGGGGCAAACAGATTTCAAACAAATAGTGTGGATTAATAATTACCCAACTTGTCTAAGATGAAATGGTCCTGGGAGCTAGTGAAAAAAAATTATTGACATCGAAGTCATGATTCCTCTGTAGGAACCAAGGACAGATCATATTTGGAGAGAGGTCTTAAGAGATCAAGGCCAGAGCCTCCCACCTTCTCTTTATAAGGACTGTGAATGTCAGTGGCATTGACCCTGCTCCAAATTCAAGGGCTAGAGGCTAAGGACTAAGGGCTAGGGGCTAAAGACTAGGAGCTAGGGTTTGCATGAAAATTCACTCTGTTGACAACTCCAGTCTGTGAGCATCAGTGTGCCTGCATTTGGATGCAGTGCAGGGTAAAAAATCCTGTGTGTGTCCAATGCGAGTCATACTCCCTCCTTCCTTCTCCCCCCCCCCCCCCCCCCCCCGCCGCCGCTGTCACCAGCCTAGCCCCTCTGGGTTCGGGCCTCGTGCGTCACCAGCGCGGGCGGGGACAGAGGAGTGGCGGGGGGGGGCGGGGGGGGGCTCCGCAAGGTGAGGGCACCGCGCTGCCTAAAGAAGCCGCGCGCCCCCGCCACAGCTCAGAGCTTGCGGCGCAGCGCGCTGGGTGGAAGTGCGGGCACAAGCTCTGTGCCCCGCTTCTGCCGCTCAAGCTGCTCCTTCCATCCGGTGGGAGCGCGAAGCCTCCTCTGGCCCGGAGGGTGGCCAGAGGATCACGAGCCCTGAGGGCTTGGTCCTCAGCTACTGTGGCGCGACACTTCCAGCAGCAACAGGTAAACTGCGGGGCTCGGCTTTGGTCGCCTTGAGTCCCTGATCCCAATGGGTTCCTTCCCCCCATGCTCCAGGACACCCCTTTGCCAAAGCTAGAAGGTTACAAAGGTAACCTGGGGCATGGGGTCTGCTAGGGGTTTCTTGTCACTCTTGCTTATCCTGGGCACTTTCTCTCCTGTGTCCTTTCCCCCTCCCTAATCTTCTTGTCTCCTTTCCTGAGTTCTCTGCTTCTCAACCTCTTTTCTTATTCCCTGTAGCTTCTCTATCTCTGTCTCTGTCTTTCCCTCTCTCCCTCCCTCCTCTCTCTCTCTTTCCCACTCTTAGGATCCAATTTGATCTTTCTTGGTTCTCTTTCTAAACGTTTCCTCTATGTCTCTCATTTCCCTTCTGTCGCTCTACCTCTCCAGGTATCTTGTGCTGCGCCTCTCAGACCCCATCCTTGTGCACCCCAGTCCCCTTCCCTATTCTTCACTCTTCTCAGCTCGCTCGCTCCCCTCACCCCCACTCCTCCATCGCCTTACAGACTGATAGCCGACTGAAGAATATAGGGAAGATGGTGAATTTTGGACTCAGGGCAGTGTAATAGAAATCCACCTTGCATGTTCCAGCCGCCACTGAGCTATTGATCAACTATGCATTTTATCTACTAAAACCCTTGCAGTCAAGGCAGCAACTGGTTTCCATGGCAAGATGAAGTCGTCAGAGAAAGGTACAGGGAGATAAAGATCCAGCTAGAGAAAAAATAAGATGTTTTCTGAGAGGCGGTGGCCTCTCAGAAGGATACTGAGAGACGGTGATGTATGTACATTAAAAGAAGTCAGAGAAAGAGTCTCACAATGGTACTAGGGTGGGAAAAAGAGCAGCAGAGATGAGGCAGAGATGAACTAGTACATACCTAGAGACGTCACTTAAGAAATGGAGAACCAGAATGTTAGAGACCAAGAGAAAGGAGGGAAAGGTGAGACAAGACACAGAACTTAGGTACTGAGAAAAACAGCAAAGGAAGACAGGAAGAGCTACAGGAAAATGCAGAGAAAGAGCAGACACACAGGTGCTAGCGTAAGACTTGGCACGTAATAAATATGAGAGAGACAAAGACAAGAGAGCTGGAGAGATATGGAAATGGAGAAAGGCAGACCCAGCCTAAGACACTGAACAGGTGTGTGTTAGGAGCCCAGATGGCTGGTCAGGGAGATCCATTGAGAGACAAGAAAGACCCAAGGAGAAGAGGGGCATATACCTCTATAGAGTAAGTTTCCTAGGGAAAAACCTACAGAGCCTGAGAGGTAGAGGAGAGAGAGAGAGAGAGAGAGAGAGAGAGAGAGAGAGAGAGAGAGAGAAGAGAGCGAGCGAGCAGGGGGACAGAGGGGGGAGGGTGAGGAAGGATTATCAGACAGTACAGTCACAACCAGATATAGACAGACTGTATATGCTGGTGGGGAATTGGAAAAACAGACTGCAGAGTGAAAGATGAGACAGCATCTGTGGAAACAGGGGCACACACTCTGTCCAGATGAAAAGAAAAAGATTGGAGATGACTCCTATGCAGGCAGGTACAGAGTACAGGTGCATTGGGTCAGCGAGATAGGACAAAACTCCAAGGGACATAGAAGGGACACGCAAAGGGAGTCCCCATTGCACGAACAGGAAAGACAAGCAAGAAAAAGAATGCAATGCATACCAGCAGTGAGACCCCAAGAGTTCGAAAAGGAACCAGAGTTAACTGCTCTGATTGGGCTAAAATTGCTCAGGGGTCTAAGGGAGGGGTCCTACAGCGATGCTACTGGGTTCAGAAGCTTATCTCTGCAAGGCACTAATCCTGCCCACATGTTTCTCTCATCCTCAGCATAGATAGTGGGCAGTCTCGTTGCCCACTGGTGCAGACACTGGGCTGCACCTTGTCTCCTGCCTGCCTGTCAACACCATGATATCCACCTGCACCAACAATACTCGAGACGACAACAACAGCAGCCAACCGTGCATGCCTCTCTCCAAGATGCCTATCAGTCTAGCTCACGGCATCATCCGCTCCATTGTGCTGCTTGTCTTCCTCAGCATATCCTTTGTGGGTAACATAGTGCTGGGTTATGTATTGCACCGTAAGCCACAGTTGCTGCAGGTGACCAACCGGTTCATATTTAACCTCCTTGTCACTGACCTGCTGCAGATTACTCTTGTGGCCCCCTGGGTCATGGCCACCTCCATTCCTATCTTCTGGCCTCTCAATAGCCACTTCTGCACTGCCTTGGTTAGCCTCACCCACTTATTTGCCTTTGCTAGTGTCAATACCATTGTGGTGGTGTCAATAGATCGCTACCTGTCCATCATCTATCCTCTTTCCTACCCATCCAAGATGACCTACCGACGTGGTTATATGCTCCTCTATGGCACCTGGATTGTGGCCATCCTGCAGAGCACACCTCCTCTCTATGGATGGGGCCAGGCTACTTTTGATGAGCGTAATGCCCTCTGTTCCATGATCTGGGGATCCAGCCCCAGCTATACCATTGTCAGTGTGGTGTCCTTCATCGGTATTCCACTGGTGGTTATGATTGCCTGTTATTCTGTGGTGTTTGGGGCAGCCCGACGGCAGCACGCTCTCCTGTACAATGTCAAGAGCTACAGCTTAGAGGTGAGAGGCAAAGACTCTGTGAAGAATGAGAATGAACAAGGAACAAAGAAGAGGGATGAGTGCCAGGATGAGAATGAGTTCCAGTACCAAGATGAAGCTCAGGCCAAGACTAAGGAAAGCAGTACCAAGGTGGAAGACAGTCCTATGGAAGCCGAGGACAGCAGCATGAAAGCCAGAGAGAGAAGCCTGGATCTCAGTACAGGGATCATGGAGGCCAAGGGCAGTGAAGACGGCAGTGAAATTCAGGCAAGCAGCCCAAAGGTAGATACTGGCTGCACAGAGGTCAATCAGTGCAACATTGATTTGGGTGAAGACGACATAGAGTTTGGTATGGATGACATCCATTTCAGTGAGGATGATGTCGAGGCAATGAATATGCCTGAGAGCCTTCCACCGAGTCACCCAAACAGAAACAGCCACCCGCCATTGCCCCGGTGCTATGAGTGCAAAGCTGCAAAAGTGATCTTCATCATCATTTTCTCCTATGTGCTGTCTCTGGGGCCCTACTGCTTCCTGGCAGTGCTGGCTGTGTGGGTGGATGTCCAAACCCAGGTACCCCAGTGGGTGATCACCATAATAATCTGGCTTTTTTTCCTGCAGTGCTGCATCCACCCTTATGTCTATGGTTACATGCACAAGACCATCAAGAAGGAAATCCATGAGGTACTGAAGAAGTTTACCTGTAAGAAAAATCCCCCTGTAGAAGACAGCCACCCTGACCTGCATGAAACTGAAGCTGGCACAGAGGGAGGTACAGAAGGCAAGGTTGTCCCCTCCCATGATTCAGCTACTTCACCTTAAAGTTAGCTCTAACGCAAATGGTTTAACTGTACACATACAAAAGAAGAAGAAACAAACAGAAAACAAGAGCAGCTTTCTTTTCAGTGCACCCACCCACAGTCTCATTAGTGCCAACCTTTACCATTTCAGGCAAACGTGTTGCACAAGCATCCTTTTCTATCACATGGCAGATAAATTAGGAAGAAGTAAGGACTTGGATCTTTCCTGAAAGGTGTAAGCCCGTCAAAGCATGGACATTAGGATCTCCACCAAATATATATATATATATATTAGGCTCTGAGTTCCCTAAAACAAGGGCTATATGGTTTGGAACTGTTCTTGGTATTCTGCCTGCCTCCCCAGAGCTACAACATGGCAGCTTTGGCTCTGAGTAAAAGGGAAAGTGATGCCTAGGGACATAAGGACTATCGGGCATTCAGGTCAGGAACTTATGGGCTGTGGGGGCTACATATTGTGCTGAACTGAAAGAAAAGCAATTGAGCAAATTACTTATGAAGCCCAAAAAGCAGAGCTAGGTGGACTGATCATCACATGAGCCAATTTCTGTACTGAAGAGCCCCACAATATGGTGCGAAGACTATAGTGCAAACTACAACAAAGGGGGATTATGTACTTAGACTATAAAGAAATCCCCAGAAAAGGGCATACGGAAAATGAGGGTCTAATTCAAAGGAAGAAATGGAGAAACAAGATGTTTCCATGGACCTAAACAATTGTGTTTCTTTTTATTTCTCTCTCTCCTCTCTTTCTCCACGCTCCCCTACCCTGGGTTTCTACTTGGGCTGGAACTGACCTCTGTACTAATGGAAGATTGTTGATTAACATAAATATCTTTTGTCTCCTATTTTAGTAAGAGTAGGAAAGAAATCAGGCCATTATTTTACTATTTTCTTTCTGTGACTGAGTTGGAATGCTCATAACAATTCTCTAGACCTCTGCCAGCCATTTGTGTTTTAATTTCTTTTATTTCAAACTGACTTTTTGGTTAAACAGTATTTTCAGGGTTGTTTTTTTTTTAAAGAAATTCACAGTATGAATGCCCAAAGTTCTAGAAAACTCACACTGCTAGTCAATTTTATGTCCACAGGAAGACTCTATTATCTCTGTAACCTCATAAAAATGAAGTAGGTTCTCCATATGGGGATAAACATGTTCCTTCCTCCATGCATTTATTTCTTTTCAACCTCTGGCTCTCTCTAAATCTTGTTAAGTACTCTGTACAAATGCAGGGGAGATTACAAGTGTCAGAAATGACAGAAAGGCTTGTTTCTTATAATACCTAGGTAATATTTGAACTATTCCAAAGAATCTGAAGATCAAAGTATCTGAATCAAATATATCTTATTGATTACTATTGAAACATACCACTTGTGATATGTAAATTATCCCCAGGGCAATTACCCAAATAAGTTTTAAACTATCAAACTCTAAAATCACTTTGGGCAAGGAAAAAACTAACATATTTTAGAAAGCAAAGGACATATTTAAAGGCAAAATAACATCCAACCAAAAACCGGTAAGTAAATTAGGTATTGAAAGGAGATACTTACTGTTAATATGAATGGAGGGAAGGTGGAGGAATATTTCATTAAGATGATTAAACAGAAGGTTGTATGTGACAGTGTGTCATATTCAGAGTTTAACATTCTAGTGTTGTCTTGTCTTTATTAGAATTCAATTTTTCACTTAAAAATGCCCTTCATTTATACTTTATCTCTTCCTCCTCCCAGATTCCGGCATGAACTTTTCAAGGGGGAAGGTAAACGGCTGTGAATCATGGAGCTGTAAGATTACCTTACTCAGAATTCAGGGGAGTTAATAGAAGCAGATAGTACTGAACTGAACTGTCAGATCAGTATGTCCATAAGAAGTTTACCAGTGTCAACTCATTTAGAACTTGTGATAGCCTCAGACAAGGCATGGAATCTACACTAAATCCTCACTCTACCATTTATTTTTCCAAAATTTTTATAGCAAATTAGTAGTCAAATTTTAGTTTTTGACTACTGATTTATTGATAAACTTATATTGGCTCATACTTAAAAGACATCTGGGTGAATTGGCTTTTTTGATCAATTTTCTTGCTTTGTTTCTTCCTGGTTTGTAACAGAGGAGTTCAGAGATGGCAGTGCCTGTTCTATTAGTAGAAATGCTTACATCCTTACATAGAAAAGGGTATTTCAAATGTGTTTTCAATATTTTATTGAAACTGAACTTCTTGTTTTATTTTTGAAGCTCAACCCCTTCAAAGTGTGACAAAGAAAATTGTTTGCCAAAATCTAAATGGAACCAGAATCTGTATGAGTGTGGTAAGTCCATTTGACAACACCCACATCTTCCAGGGTGCTGAGATTCACCTGCTCCTAGCATCATTTAACTTTTACTGTTTTATTCACTGTCCATTCTTTTGGCAAACAGGATTCTTCAAAGGTGAAGACCTTTTGAAAACAGTGTGGAAAGGACGACCTTTGAGTTAAAGGCATTCTGTCTTGATGACATTTTCTTTTAATGAATGATAGGGCTTCTGGTTAGCATGGAGGTGGCAACTGCTTCATGTTTTGGGCTGTTTTGAATAAAGAACTATCAACTTAATGAGGTTTCACTATACAAAATGTTTTGCCATTTAAAAATATGAAATCACACACAAAAGTCATCATTACCTTCCCAGATCATCATAGCCAATCATTTTCCCAAAATGTTTTTAAAGGATATATTATTTTGTCAAGACCATTACAAATGTTCAGTAAAAAAAAAAAAAAATCCATTGAATTGTGGCCATGGATTAAACAAGGAAAAGGGATCACAGGCATGGTCAGAAAGTAAAGGTATTTTGTGTCACTTGTGCAGCTCCAATCTGATTTAGAAATGGTGAGGTATCTACTTCAAGTTCAGCAGGTAAGGAAAGATGTCACTTTAGGGTTTATAAGAAAGTAGGCACCTTTATTTATTTATTTATTTATTTATTTATTTATTTATTTATTTATTTATTTATTTCCAGAGCTGAGGCCCAGGGCCTTGAGCTTGCTAGGCAAGCACTCTACCACTGAGCTAAATTCCCAACCCTGGCACCTTATTAACAATAAAACCACCCCCTGTATTTTGGAAGCACATCCAGTGCTGTAGATATTGTCCAATTAATTATTTCAGCAAAGACCCTAAAAAATCTTTTACCTATAAAATTATAAGGTGCCTAACATTGCCTTATTTTATACATCATTAGGGCCAGAATCTTTCATGCTACCTTAAGAATAATTTAGATGATTAAATGAGGTTTACTTTCTTGTGAGTTTGCCAAAATTTTCTTTTAAAAGTATCTAAAAACACTAATTGGAAGAGAGAAAGTATCATCTAGTAATTCAGATTTTCTGAAACACTCAGGGGTTGTTGAGATGAAGCAGAGAGTAATACCTTAACATACTGTATCACATTTTTCTCTCATAATTGCCTTCCTCCATACTTTTAAAAATTCAAAATCATATCTTTTCAGTTCTCATCCTCTTTAAGATAAACCCCATGCTGTTAGAAGTTTCTCTAAACAAAATGTCTTTTCCTTCCAGAAAAAAAAAAAAAAAAAGGATTAAAGGAACAATTGGCTGCAAGATAAATACCAAGATAAGAAATCTGGTCAGTCAGGAGTTTAACACTCTCTTTACTTAACTATGCCTCCATTTTGTCTTATTACCTAAGCCTCTAAAAGCCCCATACCACTCCCAAGCTTAGCCACCTGAGGAGGCAGAAGCATGAGCTGGAAACAGTAGATTATAGCCTAATAGCCTTGAAGAACAGACACCTTTCCAATTACATATGATATCTTCCTCTACAGCAAATGTTTAACAGGCATATTAGCATACTTAGGCTACAAACAACAAAACTGGCTAGAGGAAGATACAGGAAAACTCAGATACACTGAACTTGGCCACTGCCAGATCACTAGCAAGCTCATCGCTTTTTCTTAGGTAAGTTAAGAATCCTAAAGAAACCTGAAATTTGCCAATAGAAGTCAGGTTTCCATCATTGCCTCCCAAAGCCTCTATATCTCAAGAGTGTACACACTAAGGGGAAACCACAGCAATGTGTACACTTAAGGGAGTTTGCTGTATAAAGATTAATTTGCTGTATTTCCTTTGCTCTAAAAGAAACAAAAACAAGATTATTTTTAGTTTGGTGCTTCAAACTTGAGTGAATTTCACCCTCTTCATTTGTAACAACTTTGTTGAAAATTTCGTACTTTTGTCTTGTGTTAGTGCTGTGTTCTCTTGTAGTATTTCTTCTAAATGTAAGCTAACTGTATATAAAATGTGTTCTTGGAGATACGGTGCTAGATATTAGCTTGTGTGTGTTCATTGCTAGTATCATCACTAAAAAGTGAGTGACGTGTACTTCCTGGAAAGTTACTTAACAAAATGCATGCAGTATTCTACATATGACCTACAATTTGGTCAATTTTTGAAGTAGAACATAGTACATTTATTTACCTTTAAAAATGTATACTATAGGATATGTAAGATGGCTCCAAGATGGTATGCCAGGAAGAGGTGCCTTTCATTCCTTAAGTCCCGGGTACGTGACAAGCAAGAACTTATTCTGGTACAACTGGTAATCAATGTAGAGTAAATTATTGTCTTGTTTGAAGTTGTCGGTGGCAGTTCTTCGCAACACACCTGGCACTGGTACGCCTGTTTTCTTCAGAGGATAAGACATAAAATCAAAGAAGACAGTCTTTCCCCCATAAACGAGCAAGAAGACTAGGACAGGTTATTGGAGTCCTGAAAGCAGGATGAAAAGTGTACTGCAATTTCAAGACCTAAACAAGAGCCAGTACTGGACTGGGAGGTTATTGGATTTGCGTTTATCTGATCCATATTGTGATGATCCCTGCCCACCTAAAGAAGTGCCAAAACGCAGAAAAAGGCTGCTCTGCTTTTGTTTTTTGTTTTGTTTTTTTTTCTCTTTGGCTGTCTCAGACAAGACGTATTATTGATAAAGAGACAGTGAGACTTTGGGGTGAAGGGAGGGTGGGGAACAGGGGTTGCAGCTCAGGTGTTTGAAGAGTTAGAAATATATTTAAAAAAGAACTCAGATTATTTTATTATATTTTGAGAACAAAGTATTACAAGAGGATATATATTTATATATATTCTCATTAAATCATTTCTAAAACTACCTTTAATACCAAATTTCATGTGCTATTTTGAGACTGAGAACAATAGGAAAAGTGCACTCAGTCAATAAAACAGTTCTCTTTAATACTTTCCATTTTAAATTTAAAAGTTTCCTTCAAAAAAGGTTTGTAATTTAAAAGTGCCTTTTCAAAGGATTTTCAAAACTACAGTCCTGGGGCCAAGTTCCCATTGGCACAACTTACCTTCAGGTGCACAAATGGGTTGGAATTTATTGTCCACCTTTCAGCAAGAGAAATCCCCTCACACTCCAAATAAATTTATGAATTGATACTGTTACATGGAGCAGCAGTCCCAGAGACTCTGCCCAAAGTCAAGGTTTCATCTATTGGCTGGCTTTAATAGAATGCACTTTAAATTGGTTATGACGCTTTTATTGCTGGACAGGAATAACAGACTCCTGCTTAGGGAATGCAGAGAGATTAACATTTGTGGTTTAACTATTACTAAATAATTTTTGTGTTTCTTAAATAGGTGCTGTTAATCTGTCCTTGGTATATTCTTCTGAAACATGCTAAATAAAGTTTGATTTTACGTGTGTATCTGGTCCTGATATTGTGTTCTCTGAGAAAACAGGGAGACATGACATTTCCAGCCCTCCCATTTTGTGGAAACAGAATAAGCAACTCACTGTATCGAATTATCTACCTGGGCAATTGCACTCATGTACAGGCATGTGTGCATACACACACACACACACACACACACACACACACACACACACACACACCATGTTTGCAAAATCAAAATAAAATTAAAGAAGTATATAGTAGTAGTCATTAGAAAAGGTTTGTTGGGAACCTTTTATGAATAAAAAAAAATTTCCACTTGAATTGGGGTGAGTAGAGAGAAAATATGGATTGAGCCAGATACCTAAAATTCTCAAGTGTCAAGTTCATTCCAAAGACAATGAGGTTTGAACAGATGTGGAGACTTACAGTCAAACTTTGGATAGAGCGCAGAGAGTCTTATGGAAGAAGGGGAGAATACAAGGACCCAGAGGGGACAGAAGCTCGACAAGGAGACCAACAAAGGCAAAAAAAAAAAAACTGAGCTCAGGGGACCCTGCAGAGACTGATGCACAAACCAAGGACCATGCTTGGAGCCCATAAAATGCTCAGTCTCAATGTGGGTTCCCAAGTAAGGGGAGCAGGGGTTGTCTCTGTCATGAACTCAGTTGCCTGATCTTTGATCACTTTCCCCTTGCCAGGCCATAGAGGAAGAGGCAGTCCTCAAGAGACTTGATAGGCTAGAGTCAAATGGCAGAGGAGGAGAACTCCCCTTTTCAGTGGACTAGGAGAAGGGTGTGGGAGAAGTGGGAGGGAGGGTGGCACTAGAAAAAGATGAGGGAATGGGCTCCAATCAGGATATAAAATTAATAAATAAATTGTAAAAAGTAAAAAGAAAAGAAAAAATGTAAAAAATATTAGATTAAAAAAATGTTGTGAGTGTTCTGCCTGGTTCCCTCAGAGGCCAAGAGAGCATCTCAGATCCACTGGAACTGGAGTTATAGACAGGTATAAGCTGACATGTTGTACAAGGCATCAAAATCAGGTACTCTGCAAGATCAGACGCTCCTAACCACTGAGCCATCTCTCCAAGTGGGGCTTCTTTAAAAAGAATAAATAAATAGAACTACCCAGTACCTCAGTCACCTCCACTAGACTCAACCCTTTCTTTCTTTCTTTCTTTCTTTTTTACTTTCTATTAACTCCTTGTGAATTTCATGTAATGCACCCCAATCCCACTCTCTCCTCATCCCTTCATATCCAACCTCTGCCCTTGCAACCACCCCCCAAAGAAAATTTAAAAAATAAAAAAACCCAAAAATCTCATAGTGGAAGCTGTAGTGTATCACAGTGTGTCCCACAGTATACCTTTTTGTCCACACAGCTTTACCTGCAAATGTTCATTGCAATGAGTCTGGCTTCTGCTACACTATCAATAATGGATCCTCACTGGGACTCCTCTCAGATACCCTGTTGTTGCCCTGTGTCATGGTGATTCTGCAGCTTTGGATCTGCACGACTTGCCCCTCTTCATAAGCGAGCCCCACCAGTTCATCCATGGGGTAGATTCTGGGATGGTCCAACTCATAACCTTGGATCTGGGCCTAGGAGGTAGCTGAGATGGTCAGCCCACCAGGTTTCTTGCACCCACACCAGCAGGGCCAGCTCTCCAGTACTGCTCTGCCTAGCTCACCCAATGTAGCAGCCAGAAAGGGTCAAAGTCAGCTCTCCTTTTGTCATGTCCTTGGTACTAACTCACCCATGCCCATGCCACCGGGGTCATCTCTACTGTGCTGCACAGGCAAGGTGTGGAGCCAGCTCTGTTCCACCCTTGGGCATCAACATAGTCCCAGGTGGCAGCTCAGAACAAGGATGTCCACGTCCACATGGCCTTTGGTGGTACCATGGGGCACAGACATCAGTACAGATCCCTGCTACTGCAGGGTCACAGACCCAGACAGGCCCTCAGCAGCAGCATTGGACAGGACATTACTATGGCCTCCTGGTGGCAGGGCAGCCTATTCATATTAGGCTGTTCCTCACCACCACATTTCTCTAGTTCCACTTCTCTTCATAGTACTCAAACTCTTCAGCTTCTCTTTCTTTCTCATTTCACCACCACATACTTGCACATCATAGTGGTTCCAGCTTCAGGCAGGCCATACAGAGGGCCTCTGGGTATCTTCTGCCTGCCCACTTGACTGTGCAGCATGGTGTTGCTTTTTTTAATTTATTTTCTATT